CGGATATTTATGACCAACTGCGCTTGCAAAGATACTCGATTCAGGTATTACTTGCTCTTTTCTTATCCTGTATTATACATGACAATATAAACTAACGGTCGAATATTTTCCTGTATACTACAGAGAGCGATGAAAATGAAGAAATATTACCACACAATCTTTCTTGGGTTAGTTGACATGGCGCTTACCAACGCATACATCATCTATCGATGTATTCAAGGCAATCTTGCTCCCGGTAAAGCACCCCCGACACATGCTGAGTTTCAGCGGCTGATGCAGACTGCACTACTCAACATTGGACCGGCTGACTTTGCAGGAGACTTGTCAGTTGAAGCATTGGCAGACACTCCGGTTTCCCGCTCGTCAGTTCCGCGCTACACGCTACCAGCACAGCGCACGACTAAACAAGTGAGCGTATTTCGCACAACACGTGGAAAGAACGGGACCTACTCACAGAAGCGCCGTCAATACGGCTGCAAAGAGTGCTCGTTGCTGCGTCCGGGCAAGAACCCGTGGGAAACCACGTTTTACTGTGTGGAGTGCTCTGAAGTGAGGATGCGGAGCGTGGATGACGTTAACGCCGTTGGAAGAGGGAAGGTGTATCTATGCCAAAAGGTGCGGCAACATGATCCTAGTGGACCTACAAACTCGGCCACCTGCAGCCAGATATGGCACAATCTATGGCGGGGAGGAGCGACAATTCCTCCCGGTCTCAAGGCTATTCGGCTGCGTGCTCCTACTAGAGCAGGTGCGCAACGTATAGACGACAAGCTGGAAGGTGACAGTTGTTGCGATGACGGTTCCAGCGTAGGGTCGGGAAATTCACGAAGCACTGCGAGCGCTACGAATGCAGGACGTTCTGCAGAGAATATTTGTGAAGTAGTACAGACAGCAGTGATCTAATCAATCCTTTGAATAATCAAATATGGAATGAATGCAAACTCTTTGTGAGTGATGGTTTTTGTTGATATTTAGAAATATGTCCCTGTAGCCGATTTGTGCGATACAGGATATTGTGCCATATGTTAGAACCACCATTTTCACTCTTACCCTGTACTGCATAACTGACAGAGATTGTGAGCTTGGAAAAACTCCGCAAAAAATAAACCCAAGTCATTTTCTTACCCTGTAGAATACAGGGTAATTTCCGCCCGAAAACGCGGGGCTAGAGGGGTTAAGAAGATAGAACTGTATGGCTGGCACCATCTCTAGAATTGTTGCCTATAATAAGCAGGCTTTCTTTACAGAAGCAGCACACATCCGTGATTTCGGTCGCAGCCAATGGCAGCCATAGGAACGTGTTTACGGTAAATTTGACCCTGTAAAATGACGGTATATTGTATTGCCCTCTTGCAGCATTTTAAAATGGGCACACTTCGCAAATTTCTGGACAACATGTAAAATGCTGTACATGTACTGTACGCACGGATGCGTTGGAATCTTTAAGCTGCCCTTCTCCTAACGTTACCGGTAGGTTTCCAATCACTGTAGAAGGACTGTCCAACCATCATAGCGTTGTTGTGTCTGGGTAAGTGAAGTCCTTGGCTCGATCTTGGGTGCGAAAACTATTAGTTTTATGCGTACCCGTTAAATTGCGACGACAAGCTACTTTTAAAAGGGCGACTGCTTCTCGTGGTTAAACACAAGTCACTCTAGATACCATTGGTTAAATTGATCGGAGTTGTGTGTCACAGGTGACCATACGTACGATTCTGGATGGACGTGGTTATGTATTGATGTCTTTACTAAATGTAAGTTTTTCAAGAGTGTCAGGCAGCCAGGGAGTCGCATGGACCTGCGTTTTCTTTAAGACAAAATCATGACATCCTCGCTGCTGGCGATCTACAACTCAGAGAGAGAGAGAGCGAGAGAAAGAGAGAGAGAGATAAGTATTTTATGTGTATAAGTCTTCTAAGCAGTATCGGTTGACAGGTGGAGCCTGGTGACTGCTGTAAGACCCTTTATCGGTTGGATGACTTTCTCGCTGGCAACTCCAACTGCTCGATACAGAGCTGTAGAAACATGCTGTTTCTACAGCTCTGTATCGAGCAGTTGGAGTGCCTCGCGTAATTTTGTAAGCAAGTGGCACCGTTCCCGATTTTGCCAACGCCCGTAGCTGTTTAAGCACCGAGTACACACACTGACGGTTAAAACTTTGTGGAAACGTGGCGCTTTGTTTCAGCAATACAAAACTGCCGTTTGTTTGCGCTCTAGAAGCTGAGAAATAGAATTGTTTATACTCGCCTAAACAGCTATAAAGGCCATTCTGCTATCACTGCACACTGTGCTCTCCACGGTTACAGCTTCCCCATTATGTACAACCTTGTTACGCTGCATCCAGAGCATGGTCAGACAGACTGTACACCTTACCGACCATGTCTTTACCACTCCTTGCCCATGTCTACTTGGTCGTCTCCCGCTGCGCTCTGCTGTCTGCGCTGAGGAGATCTACAACTGATACGAAGCTCCAGGTATGTAGATCTGCTGCCCGTTATCTACTTGCCTACCAAGTTTCGTAAGTTCTCGAAATTTACCCCCGTAAATACTCTGCGGGCTCTTGCAGACTGCGTGTTTGAATACTTGGTACCTTTGTTACTCAGGATACCCTATTCGGGTATAGATATTAGCCTCTTGGGGTCCCGAAGAGGCTAATATCTATAGACTACTGCTGCATTGGTGAACGCATCGTGTCTATTCTACTAAATGTACATGTACTTATAAAAATAGTTGAGATGATGGCAGTCTTCAAGTCTCTTGATTCAACGGCTCTTTTGTGGTCATTAGTTTCGTTTGACATGTGAGAACTGTACATGAATGTACCGGTACCAAATAATTGTGCTCAGATTTTGAGCCAATCCTGCTAAAATAAACTGAAGCAGAAAACGTCCCCGGTAGCTCCCGATACAGACAATCCTCTTTAGAGTGACCTTCCAAACAGTGATACATCAACAATCCAAACCTCCAAAGTGTACTTAGTGATTCAAAATTGACGGGTTATTACTATATAGAGCAATAAAACTGAACGGTTTGGTGAGCTACGTCCGAATAAGTCGCAGCGACATTTGTCTTTTCCGGCTCTGGTTGTTCCCAAATCAGCTAGAACATTTCGATTGACGTTAATCGCATTTATGTGCAAGCGCGACATCATAACGGCAAGCTCATAGGCGATGGAGTCCTCGTCTTCAAATTCACAACTTTCGTGCAGTAGTCCAGAAGACCCGTGTGCTTCCAGCGGGTAGCAAAGAAGGGTGCAGGTGTAGAACTCCAGAGCTCCACGCTTCGTATAAGGACTTGGCGTACGCTCACGCTGTACAGCTTTTGTAGTCCATTAAAGGCCAAAACAGCGAAGCTACAAAGGCGGCGGTTCCCTTGTAATGGTACAGCTCTGGATAGTGCTTTCTCCAGATAGTGATTTAACGTGGCTTTCCGACGGTATCACTACAAGGAGGATTGTTAGTAAGCAAAAAAAAATAGGAAGCCATGGTGCTAATGACAATGCATCTATTCAGTGTTTTCTCCAGCTCCAGATTGTCCAAAAACGCCTAATTAGGCCAGTAAAGAAACAAACACTTTGTGAAATAGCTGACCGAACAAGCGAATGTCTGCCGTACCAATCTCTTCAGGTCGCAATTACAGGTACGAGAAGCACTGTAACCTTTCTTTGATTTGGTGTCTTGAAGTCTTACTGAGTGTCTTTTTTACGCTTCTATTCGAACCTTGACCACGTTCAATCGCATGGATAATTACCAAAGATGCGCAACAAGTATGCATAAAATATTCTGGAGGATTCTACTAGAGTAGCCCGTTGAATGCACAGATCAATATACAAAATTGTGCAAGCTATGTAGCTAAGAAAAAACTAGAGCTTCTAATACTTAATAAGTACTGAGAACTACGTCAAAATATATTATTAATACAAACATTAAAGTACATGAAGATCATTCTGTACCGGTACGTATACGGGATCCTCCTTTATGCGTTGTACAATTCAAGATTCATTTGTTGGATTTGCTTTAATATTTTCAATATTAAAAAATGAGCGCAATCAGCAGTTGTGAGTGATCTGCAAGTGTTTTTGATGGGCACAACCCCAGCTGTTATTTCCGAACCCTAAAAATCACGCTGAGACTACAAATTTAAGAAACTCGCAGGCGTTGCATCCACACATTAACTTCGAATTGCAGGCAGTTGTTTGCAGAAATGGCTGCCAATCGTTCCTGTTATCGGCTGCCCAGGGGTTCATGCACCATTTCTCATCTAGCACTCTCGAGAATCTCGAGTCGAGAAAAGGAGGCGTCAGTCTCTCCGTTTGCTTGGACTACCTATCAGTAGATCATGGACACACGTACGGTCCAGGCAACGGAGGCTCGAGCTGGCAGCACCGGCACTCGGAACATTTCCTTTGCTATGCGTCAGTCGCACTTTCAAGCCCGGAAGATCGAAGGCACGTACGTGCACAAGGCCGTAGCGTGCGAGACACCGCTCACATTTCAGATCAGGCCTAGGAAAGTCGCCACAGTGGATGGCTTGCTCTCTTTAACAAGCGGGAAGAGAACAAGAGAGGTGTCGACAACGTTTGTGTCTTCTAAGCGTCAACTTCCGATATCTCCAGTCGGCAGGGAAGCACGGACGCCAGCCACTGATACAGAGTCATTGAAGAGTGAACAGAAAGCCGTAGGGAACTGGGCTGTCGTGCAGGACAAGCAACAGCGAGAACTGAGCCCCATCCACTACAAGACGATGCAGGACAGTCATAATAACACTTTGGAGAGAGCGACACAGCGACTGAGGGGGCAGATCGAGAACTTACAGCGTAGACGTCGTCTGGTCTCCACTGTTCGACCAGCGATAGAGAACGTGTGGAACGTGGCTCTCGAGTACTTCCAAGTCTTCCGCAATGGTCTACAGACCGGATCGAAACCCTCTCGAAGCCAGTTTGAGTTTTTGAGGACAGCCATGGCCCCAGACATGGTTTTAACACCGGACGTGGGCCTGAAGCCATGGTGAAGACCTGGAAATGCATTTCTCTGTGGTTTCAAGACGTCGAGTTGGAGCTTGAGGGGATGGAAAAAGGGTCTACCGGGTCGATTGTGGCCACTACAATTACCCGAATCACCATCACAGAACGCAGTCTACGGAATGTGTTTCCCCATTTGTGGGTCCAAAGCGGCCGCTACAAAGAACTGGCCGAGAAACTTCTTGGCCAGCGAATCGTCGCCATTCAGTTTAACTGGGACTCGACCCAACGACGTGTCAGTAGTGTGATAGCCCAGTCAGACTTGTTGAAACCGATGCTTGGCCTTGTCGGTAGCTTGGAGAATGTGTCACGGGTGTTCGAGAAAGCGATTATTTCTCCCAATTTCCAGTGGAGATCTTCGGCAGAATAAGAAAGTAATGTAATGATCTTATTTACTTCTGCGGGACACTTTTAATAATATTACATCAATTTGCTTGTTGATTCTATAACATGATTTTCCAAGCAATTACGCCTTTGGTTTTGCTGGAGGGTATTGAGTTTATGTATGTGCGAAAGCCAGCGGATAAGTCGTGGATAATCAATCTAAAGGAAACACGTTTTAAATAACTTGCAATAGCTGTTTTCCTATCAGCCGCTAAGAAATAAATCTTGAGATACTTAGTGTCCTTGGACACTATGACCTGTCCTTGGACTATCTCAAGCCCTTTGAGATACTTATATACTAAGTATCCTTGGACAATTTCTACACATTCTATTTCTACACATTTAAGGACAAGTGTAACGGGGTACGTAGCCCTAAGTGAACCCTGGTTACATGAAGTGTGACACTTCACACTTCAGGTATGACACGTCATACTCCGGGATATTTGGTACAAGGTACCAAGGTCGTTCAAAGCCAACCATTGGTCAAACGACATTGCATTTCTATAGGTAACTTATAGTTTGTATTAAACCCAAACTTAACATACCTATAAATATACTCAGTTTACAGTCTACCTTATTTAGGTAACTTCGCTCTCTTTAAATAAAGAGGAGACCTGTGAACTGCCGTTCACTGAGAGTTTGTATACTCTCGGAAGATAACTTCCTCAAGCGCAAGGTGCTGTGTGACCCCGTCACACTTGGTAGCACTCGTAGTCAATCCACGCCACCACGGGTAGACTACCTGAACCTCTCCGAAGTTCGTTGTCATGGATAGGAACGACTTCTCCCATATGAACGACTCTTAGTTCGAGTCGGTTCGGAAGATGGCAGGCATCTTCGGGATGGAGGCCCTGCAGAGCCTGGTGGTGTCAACACCGGCTGAGCAGCTCGAGCGCGTCAATGCATTCGACGCGTACGAGCAGGGCCTCATCGCGCATGTGCGGGAGAACCTGCAGGCTCCGGCGGCGGAAGCAAATCCGCCTCACCCGAAGCCAATACGGCTGAAGGTTAAGCCGTATGAAGGAAAGGAAGGCGAGAACCTTCACTTCTGGGTCCTAGAAGTAGAGCTCGCGATGGACGCGGCTCTGATCTCGACCGAGCAACTGCATGTTGCCTTTGCACTCTCCAACCTTAGCGGCCGTGCTAAGAGTTGGGTGTACACACGGGAAGCAACATCCCCTGGATGTTTCACATCCTGGGCTCAGCTGTGCGAATAGCTCCGAGCCGCGTTCCTCTCGGCGAACTACGAGTACCGCCAGCGTTCGCGCTTCCTCTCGTGTAAACAAGGGAGGCGCGAACTGCACGAGTATGTGCAAGAGATACGGGAGCTCACGGCGTCCCTAGTGGGAAACCCACTCAACGATCACATCAAGATGACTGTGTTCATGGACGGCCTTCGAGTGGGCCCCGCACGCACTCAGCTGTTCCGGGTGCAGTCAAGCACCCTTGAAGAGGCGATTCAAGTGGCTCTTCAAGAAGAGTACAGCCATCGCCAGGCGCGTACGCCGGCCTCAGCGTGGCCTGGGAGTTCCTTGTCGGCTCCCGGTCGAACAAGCCCCAACAGACCAGTTCCCATGGAACGCGGGTCCGCCGAACAGCGTGACATCCGCTGCTTCGGCTG